AAAAAATTACAAACGAAAGAAATATTAATTACACTAAATTATATTTGTGTAATTTTAACAAAATGGTGCATAATTATAACCACACCACTTGTTTGGCTTAATCAAACTTTGGAAGAAACAGGTTTGGATGAAGCCTTTTTTTTTTGGCAACACACAACACAAGTGTTGTATTCTGGAAATACACGAAATGCCCCAAAATAACTTTGTGAAAGTTGGACGCATTTCATGGAGCTCAATTTGCTTCAGAAAATTTAGTTGTGCCTATTTTTAGCATTGAGAAATTAGAGAAAATTGTTGAATCATGAAATTATATTTTTGTATAAAAATAATTATAAAGTACTTAAAAGTTGATGAAAAGTTGGGGTAGTCAAATTCTAATTCACTGGTTTCACATAAAGTTGTATATGACTCCATTGAAGTGTTAGGAGTTTACACATAAGTGTGGAGTTTTTTTTTTTTATGGGAGTTGAAATGTAGGGATTTGTCAACATGAGTGTGAACACTCAATAAGTACATATGTAGAGGAGTGGGTTCAATAGTAGCTAGACCCAAAAAAGTTGGTACATGGTCTTAAGAATTGATGGTGTTACTCACAAAAAGCTAACGAGACTCATAAGTGAGCAAAACAGAAATTGTTGAAAATTTTGTAAAAGTGAAGTCCTATGTAGAGAGATACAATGAGAAGAAAGGCAAAACATTAAGATGAATATATATATATATATATATATGGTTAAATCTCTAATTTGGTTCGTAAATTATTGTATAGACTCTCAGTTTGATCCTTAAATTAAAAAAATCCCTGATTTGGTCTCTAAATTATTGTACGGATCTTGATTTGGTCCTTATTGTTTACCAATTTGTCCCAAGTTGGTTATTCTGTACAAAAAACAGTTGATGTATTTCGTTATTAATATGACATGTGATCGTTAAATTACTGTTTTTCGGCATTAAGTTACTGTTTTTTGAAGTTAAGTAATGGATATGTTAGATTTTTTTAGACAAAAAGACCAATTTGGGGCAAATTGATAAATAGTATGAATCAAATTGAGGATCCATACAATAGTTAATACAATAGTTAAGGGACCAAATCAAGGATTTTTTTAGTTTAAAAACCAAATCAAAGGTCCATACAATAGTTTAGGGACCAAATTAGGAATTTAACCTATATATATGTGAATATCTTTATGAGTTTTCTAAGTTCAATATGGTGCCTATGGCTATAATGATACTTTACTAATTTGTGAACTCTTGCTACACCATGTCCTAAGCTAGGTATATTGTTGAGAGAAATAACTTAGTATCTTTCACAAATATTGTAAGAAGGTAACTAAAATAACTACTGAAATAATCCCTCCCTTGGTTAAATTTAATGAATCCACATACTTAATTGCAAAAACTCTACTTCAAAACTCTAGTTTTAGATTCTTGTCTTACAAAAATTAAGCCGTATACTTCAAAAAAATTATACTTATAATCCTTTTTTGCTTTGGGAATATATATGTGTATATATATATATATATATATATATGTTACAATATAAAAGCAATAAGTGAAGTTTTTGCTTTTACAAATGGAAAGAAAGAAGTTTTTATGGTAATTATAAAAAAAGATACAGAACATCAACTATCATGTATTTAATTACAATTATAAAATAACAAGGTATAATATAAATTATATTTAATTTCTATTCATTGTATAATTGAGATTCAACGTTTTAATTTTTATTTCTTTATAAAAAAAAAACAAAGATCTTATTGAAAAAAAAAAAGAAGAAGAAAAAAACCGATGTTAGCAATGAGATTGGAGTGCGGAAATTACAGGCCCTTTGATTAGCTTTATTAATTTTCTTTTTCTCTGTATTCTGCTGGAGGGATGCTTTGGATTTTCAAAGATTCCTGTCGTGAGAAAAAGCAAAAGCAAACCACGCCATCACTAGACGGATGTGTTTTGTGTGTTGAGTCCTCTCTCTCTTTCTTTCTCACATTTCGCTTTCTTTCTTCTTTTATTTTTCCAGGCTTTTCCTTTTTCCCCTGTTTGGCCCTTCATTCTCTTTTTGTTTTCCCGGCGTTCTCTTTCCCCCCAAACAAACCCTCTTATCTCACGGCTTTCCCATTGGATTTATTTTTCCTGTCTTCAGAGATTGTCTCATGCCTTCATCAACATGTTCCCATCAGTGTCATTCTCATCCCCAGACCAACTTTCTCAAAGCAAAAACGGGGTCCTCCAGCTTTTTTTTTTTTTTTAATTTCTCTTTGGCTCCAAAATCTTTTCCCCTGTTTGGTTTACGAAATTGGAGCTAAACTTGGGTCTTTGGTTCAGCTCCTCCAGCCTTTTTATTATTAGTAAAGGGTACACAGATGATGTGAGTACAAACAAAAACTTAGCATTACACAAATCTGGATTTCGTCCAGCAGATGGGTGAAATCAAACCCATTTGGTTCCCCCCCAATCCATTTCTTCAAAAGGGAAAATTTGCTTTTCTCAAAGCAACACGTTTCTCAATCTAAAATATTCAATCATGCATTCATGTTCCGATATTCGGTGTTCCCCTTTTTTGCTTTTTCTTTAGTAATTTTTGAGGAAATTTTTTTTTTTTAATTTTACAACTATTCTTGTATATACTTAACTAGCTAGAGACTAGAAAATGACAGGATATATAAGTGGTTTACTTTTACAGAAAATTAATGCAATGTGTTTTTACTTTTGAAAATCTTTACCTGATTTTGATTGAAAAGGGGGGATTCTAAAGCATGCTAAACGATTAAGTAAAGAACATAACTATTACATTCTCATCCATAGGTTCCTCATCCTTTCAACTCATCAACATCCAACTTTCCGCTCTAATTCCTCTCATTCCTTTCTCTTTTTTTTTTTTTTTTCTTTTTCCTTTTTCACTTTGAATGACATTTTCTAGTCTTCTTATAATTCAATTCCACGTCCAAAAATAGAATAAAACGAAGGGCATAAAAAAAAAAAGGAAAATTCGTGTGTTATTAATGTTTGCAATATAATCAATAGATATTAAATGACCAAAGATGAGTCATTTTCATATAATTTCAAATAAATGGTATTTATTATTTTATAATTTAAACTCTTTTTGTTTTTTTTTTAATACGTGGGAATTGAGGAGGAGGTGATTTTTTCAAGTTGTTAATGAAAATTAAACTCTTAATTAACTGTATACAAATATTTAAGATTTAGAAATGAATTATTGAACCTGAAGACTCGATTCACTTTATAATATAAATTTACTAATTACAAAAATATAAATTTTTATATACTAAAAAAAAGTAAATATTGAAAGGACTTTTCCTTATCAATGATCTTTTTTTACATTTCAGATTGTATAAAAATTTCTCGATAGGAGAAGGTATATATATATATGAACAAATATAATTTAAAATAAAAAATAATATTGTCATGACTGAAATTTTAATTATTATTAAAAATTGAATGCATAAAACCCATGGAATAAATGTATATTCACGTATTCATGAGTTACAGAGGATTGATACATTCTAATCGTATCAGTATTCGCCACGAGTCACCTTATTATTAAAAATATTAGACTGAAACTGATTTGGTAGCGCGTGAGAAGCACGGCTCCACATCAGCACCAGGGGCCCACCTGAGCCTCATAAACTTCGCACATTCGCCTATTGATCCGATGATATCATCAGTACGACTATTAGCATTCCCACGTGTGGCGAATGCCAGCGTGAGGGGAATCTTCTTGCTCCCCTGACCAAATTTGCAGACCTTCCCCCCCCCATTTTTTTAATCATAGAAAATGTTTTCAGTTTTGGTAAATAATAAAAATAAAGTT